GTACAGCAGCTTTTTCTTATGTGCTACAAGGGAGAAACAAATTGCCCATCTGTCGTCCAGAACACCCGTGTTTTCATCACGATCCTTCTAACCCCGTGAAGCAGGGGATCAAATGGGGAGGGGGGTGTCACAATTTACCCTTCTGTCCTTCCTTGAAAGCCACGACAGGCTCCCCAGCAGTGACATATGGTGCATTCTGCCCGTGGATATTATTTTAGCACAAGTAGAGTTTCAGAAATAAGAGCCCTGTGGTGGAACAGTCATGAGTCCTTTTACAAGGGACAGAGAAGGAGCAAGACTGTGGCTAGAAGCCATGTCAGTAAAATGCTAGACATAATCATAGGTTTACTCAGGACTAAAGTAGGGCTAGTGTGGCTGGATCTTCACCAAGGCACAGCAAACCAAACCAAACCAGCAAACAAAAACAAGAGTGTGTGTCTTGTGCTGTTCTTGTAAAGCCAGGCTTGCTCAGGGGCTTTGTAACTGGGTTCTTTCACACAGAGGGAATTCTGCTACCAAAGGAAAGGGCTGGAGGTGCTGCAGCAGAAAAACCATCTCCTGCCTGGCTTCCTGGCCTCCTGCTGAAATTAAAAGCAGCCTTGCAAGTCTGGATTCTTGTTAAATGACCGGAGGGGGTACCACGCCATTTCTCCCTGGGTAAAATGAAATCCATTCTGTTTAACACACACACACACACACACACACACACACACACACACACACGAGGGTTAGTTTTCACTCTCTTCCCAATCTTAGCTATTGCTTCCTTCACAGAAGTGGCTGACTCTAATAAGCAAAAAATTAAATATTAAAGCAGAGGCATTGCTGTTAATAATTAATACCACTACCTATCTTCTAATGGCAGTGGAAGGAACTCTCCACCAATGGTCCTCTTTTTAGGGGTGTGGATGTGCCTGTGATTTCTTGGCATTTCAAGGAAACATGAGGTCTGGCACAGGAAAACAAGTTTGCTTTTCATTTCACACAATTCCCCAAACAGGAAACAAAACACAACACAACAAAACAAGAGAAGGAAGGAAGGAAGAAGAGAGGGAAAGAGGGAGGGAGTGTGTGTGGAGAGAGAAAGAGAGATGTTTGGTTGGCAGACTATTCTTAACAACAAAATGCACATTCATAAATACACTCACACACAAACATACAGACACACACAAATACAGGGTAATGCCTTTCTATCAATAAATAAGTTTAGGGAAATGCTGAACTGCCCAGAGGTGCAAACCCTCCTTCGGTCTGGGGCAAATGGGGTCCTTCTCTCCTTTTGCTTTTTCGCCATTTCTGCCTCCTCGCCACATCCGCCCGACAGACCTTTCCAGCTCCTTTGCACGGGACGCGATGGGCAGCCGGGACCGCTGGGAACCACGCCGTTTCTCGGGCAAGATTCCCCCCCCACCCTTTCTCTCTCTTCAGTCCGGGGCCGGCGAGAAGATGGGGAGGGGAGGAAGTCGAGGGCCAGACAAGCGTTGCTCTTCAATCTTCCCGTTCTTTTCAATTGTTCTCTTCCCTCTGATCTGGATCTTCTGCCAATACTGCAACGCAAACCCTGCTTTCCCGCTCCCGTCCACTCCCACGAGCAGCGGTTGTTGATGAAATACTCTCAAGACCGAGACACTGGCACGAATGCCTGGGAAATTACTAATCACTGCTGTTCCCCGACCGTGATTTTAATTTTGAAAACTCAAATTCGAATCAATCACTATTCGAAACCATCATTATTATCAACGCCCCCCCCTCAAAAAAAAAAAAACTTAGAAAGTAATCTCGTAGATAAAATGACCAACACTCTGATTTTAAACTATCAGATAAATCTGCAGACACTACGAAAATACAAAAGCCGACCCTTGTGTTATTGGAAACATCCCGGCATTGGGACTGGGCAAAGGGCAGGGAGGAAGAAGCCGCGCTCCCTTGCCTTGCATTATAGGTCAGAAACAAAAGAGGATTCGCATTAAATTTTGCGCATCTCCCTTCCCGACCCCCACCCCACCCCCAGTTCTTTTCACAATATTTTTCCTCGAAGGTGTGTGTGTGTGTGTGTGGTGGTGGGGGAAGAGATAATAGTCACCAGATTGCAGGAGGAAGCACACGATTAAGTTTAAGAGTTTGACAGTCTGTTCCTCTTAGCAAATTTAAAACGAACAAACAAAGGACCCTAATTAAGCTTGTTTCTCTTTATTTATTTATCCTGTTTGGGGGGGGGAAGGGGAGGCATTGGCTCTGAAATATTCATACCCACGCCGGGTGTACATTTCATAACCAAACAATAATAAACAAGGAAGAAGACAGCGCACCCTACGAGAGATCGGGGTCCTTCAAGGTAAACAAGGACACTTGGGGAAATGAATCCTCCTTCGTAGTTTTCAATGGGACCTTCTTTCCATACTATATTCATTCTTCCCGTCTATTCCTCCCGTAGCCTCCCTCCAAGCATGCACACGGACACACACACCGAGGCTCATTCGCCCCCCCATCTATTACCGTTTTTATACATACAATCAAAGCCCGCGGAGTAACTTTGTCTTCCTCAAGCCACCGGCTGCAAGTAAGGTCGAATCGCGCCCCTTCCAACCCTCACTGCCCAATTTCCATGCCTATTTCCCTGAAGTTTTCCAACAGCGCGCTAAGCCGAGCAAACCACCCACTCCAGAACCCCCAATCCTAGATTCACACCAGTGGCTTGGATGGGGGAAGGGGGAGATTTCTTTTAAAACCTTTTTTTTAAAAGCTTCCCCTGCCCATTGTGCCTTTTATGACACCCCCTCTTAGGTTTTTATGCTGTTTACTTCCTCACTTTTTATAACTTACTTTGATCTGGCCTGCTTTTGTCCTCGCTTCCTTCACAAACTTTATTGTCCTCGAAGCTGGGCCTTTGACTGGAAGCGATCCCTTCCCTTGCAGCAGAAGTGTCTAAATGGTACTCCTGTGTCCCCTGTTTACGGATCTCCCCGGGGTGTCCCAGCAGCGGTTCTGTTTTAACTGGTCCCTGCCCGGCTGCTATGTTTTCTGTTCTGGGCACTGGGTCCAGCCAGCTTCGTAGATACCTGCTCTCTGAGGTAGGGATGTTTTGATGCTGGATGTAGGGATGGTAGACCGAAGGAAGGGTAGCAGCAGTGTGTGGCGGCAGAGGCGTCCAGGAAGCGCTGAAAACGGAGGATTTGGGCTGGAAACTACAGGAGGGGAACTCGAGGTGTTCAGTGTGGGTAGTTTGCCTGGAGTTTGAGTACTGCCCGGAAGAGAATTTGGCGGCGGGAGAGTCTTCGTTGTCATGGCTTATAATGGAGTCGACATAGTAATTGCTAAGAGTTCCAGAAATTGACATTCTTGGACATCCTACGAGCACCACGGTTCAATGAAGGGGAAAGCAAACGAGCGAGCGAGCGAACAAGCAATAAAAAAATAAGGAGTAGATCTCTAGTTAAGCTGCTCTATAGATATTAGAGTATATGGGGCGGGGAGGGGGGAGAGCTTGTTGGAAAAAAACAAAACAAAACAAAACACCAAACCAGGCGACACTCTCGCTTAACCCCCTTTCCTCCTCCAGCATCAACTTCCCAGCCAAGAAAAAGTACAGTCGGGACTGCCGGGTTGGGAGCTTCCAGCAAAATGATTGGTCAAACTTTTTTCGTGAGGCTGATAAAGCGTCAGGGCAGGCGTAAATCAATC